GGGGAGGAGGGAGAGGGTGTTAAACGGCGCAGGACGCGGCCGCCATTTTGTGAGGGAGAGTGAGGGGCGGTGCGGAGCGGAGGGAGCGCTGAGGGCGGGGGTCGGACAGTGACGGCGGAACAGCGCGGGGTCGGTTCCTGAAGGGCCGCGTGTGTGTCCGTGCTTGTGGCCGAGCGCAGCGGACAGAAGTCGGTAAGGGCGGAGCGGTGCGGGAAGGGCCGGGCGCGGCCGCCGCCATGTTGTGCTCCGTTGTTGGGGAAGGGGGGATGGGGGGTCCCGGCTCCCCGCAGGTATCGGTGAGAGAAGAAGGGAGAAAGTTCGGAGGTGAAGAAGCTCCGGTCGGCGGGAGCTGACGGCAGCTGGGCCGGGGCCGGTGACGTTATCTCGGCTTTTGGTTGCAGTCCAAACAAGGCGGAAGCTGGAAATGGAGCTGGGCGGCTCCTCTGGAGCTGAGGGATGGACAGGGGGCTGCTGAGTTTGGAGTGACAGGAGCTGAACAGACCCGAGTGCGTCAAGATTAAAATCTCAGAGATCCCAGGAAAAGACAAGCAATGAGCAAAATAGGAAATTAGTGTAAGAGTTATTAAGGAATTACTGGGATAACGAAGGTTAAAGAAATAGCTGACAGATGACAAATGGAGTTCTGTGATGGTTGGGGAAGGGTTTCGACACTGTGGGCAGTTCCTGTGTTGGTCCCAGTTCCCAAAGTATTTCTTATTGTACTTTACTGAAACGAAAGGGATAAAGTTCTTGATTGTCTCTCAAAATGCTTTTTAAGACAGAAAATAAGCAAAATGTTGTTAGTTGGGATCTGCTAAGTTTGGTGGTGAACTTTATACGTAGACAAAGGCAAACAAAGCTGTGTCTTTTTGGGTGGGGTTTTGGGCTAAGTTTGGTGGTGAACTTTATACGTAGACAAAGGCAAACAAAGCTGTGTCTTTTTGGGTGGGGTTTTGGGGTTTAGTTTGCAGCATGTTGTCATGTTTAACATCTAAGGAGACACAGCTGACTCGAAATTCTATGAATTATTTCTGCTTGCCCTTTATTCCACCCCAAAATGAAACAATTGTTTTCTTAATCTGAATTGAAATTTCTTTGTCGTTTCTACAGCAGGACTTCTCCCTTGGAGTTTCTGTGCCGAGAATCCGATGTTGGGCTCGGCTCCCTGGCTGAAGACAGCAGATCAGCCCATGAAAACTTCTATTCCCAGCCAAAGGAAGGAGTCCAGCACAAGGCAGCACCTGTTCTTTCAGGCTTGGAAGCAAGAAAGGGGACAAGAGTTGGAGAGTGTGGAATCGGAGAAGACCACTGAGAGGTAAATGACGGTGGGAGAGGGGAAATCAACATCGCAGGAGAGCCTGCAGGGACGTGCTGAGCGTGCTGTGCTGGAGTCTGGGCTTTGGAAATTAATTAAATTTCTTCCACTTGAGGTGGTTTTCAGTTCATTTTGGGTTTATCAGACTTTGGGAAGTCTGGGGAGTGGCTTTAGCAGGGCAAACTTTGCCCAGTCATTAGGTGTTAACAGACTGAGTTTAAATGTCTCCAGCACTCAATACAGACAGATGAAATGTGGCTCTGCACTTTCTGAGCAGGGTTTTGTCAGTCACATTCCTTCAGGTACACCTGAGGAGAGGACTGGCCTGTGTAGAGTGAGGAGTTTTTGTTAGATTTATTTTTGTCCCTTTGCTTGAAATCTAAATGTTCTCTGAAACACTTTGTTTAAAAAAAAGTAATAACGACTTATCCTGACTCATCTTGTTTTTACAGGTGACATTTAAGTTGAAGATGGGAGGTGGAGAAAGATACAACGTTCCCGTTCCCCAGTCTAGAAATACCACCAAGAACCATCAACAACTTAAAAACAGGCAGAAGAACAAAGACCAGAATTCTCAGATGAAAACCTACGTGAAGAAGGAAAGAGGCCACGGCTGCAGCTCCTCTCCTGGTGCATGGCAGGCCATGCAGAAAGGGGGGAAGAACAACGTTCCCTTCCCCAAGAATCCCAATTGGAATCCTGCTCTATCCAATCGCAACCTGTTGTTCACCCCTCAAAGCAACCAGAACTATGCTGGGGCCAAGTTCAGCGAGCCACCCTCCCCAAGTGTTCTGCCTAAGCCACCAAGCCACTGGGTACCTGTTTCTTTCAAACCTTCTGATAAAGAAATAATGACATTTCAGCTCAAAACCTTACTGAAAGTCCAGGCCTGAGGTGTAACGTGTGATTTTTCAGAAGTGATTTCGACTGTCAGGGTTTCAAATTTGAGCATTGCTTTTCCCAACTCCAGCTGCACAGATGTGCAGGACCAGGTGTTCTTGCTGCATGTAGTTAGTCACTTGGAGAGGGGTAAAAGTTTACATTCCCCTCATCTTTTACCTCAAAAGTTCAGTGCTGTGTTCACCTCACTGTGAAATAGCTATTTTCTTGAAAATCAGTCAAATCCTGAGCAGTCACATTTACTGTATTTAAGAATAAATGGGACTGTATTCCAGAATTGGAATTGTAACTTTGAATTGTTAGAAAACCACCTTTTACCTAACTTAATGCAGCATGAACTGAAAATTAAAATGCACTGAAAACTTTAGTCAGGTTATTTGCTGCTTTTCAGACTGGTGTGAGATTTGCTAAACACTCTGCAGAGCAGAAACCTCCACCTGGGCACAAGGGGAGGCAGAGCTGATTCTCTTACCTGTCCCTGTGAGCTTTGTTGGCACTCCTGCAGTGGTGGGTGAGTGTTTTCAAGCCTGTGACTCCCATCTGGAATGTTCTGGAAGGGTGTGGAAGAACTCCTCAGGCAGATCCATAAAGCCTCTCCAGCTGTTTCCCAGGAAACTCCGTGAGTGCCAACTAAAGACCTTGCATTGCCAGGTGACTGCCAAAAAACCTCCCCCCAATCCTTTGTATGCCCACTGCACTGAGGAGTTCTAAACCACATTTTTCTATCAGTTTTTATAAAAAAAAAAAGGTGGAGTAGTTCCTTAGTCTAGTCTTAAATTGGTTCCCCTGTAACAATGAGTAGTTTGGGGCAGGTATTAGATGTTCTCACAGGGAAGACGGAGCCATGTAAATACATGTAAAACATTGTAGCATATGTAAATTTCTGCTGGGCTTTCCTGCACAGATGTATTTTTAGTACAAAAACTGCTGAATGTAAGATGACCATGTTGAGTACGTGGCCTGGTTTTAAAAAATGATATTTTGTTTAAAAAAAAATAACAAAAAAAAAAGACATTTGTGGCTGTGCCCTTGCACTTCACATGCAGTGAATATGCACATTGTATTTGGTTGTAATCTCATTTTTTTAAAGTAAAATCAGTGCAAAAGAGGCTTATTTAGATTTTTTTTTTAATTAAAAAAAAAAATTAAAAAAAAAATAAAAAAAAAAAGCTGCTGGAGTTTCAAATCCTCCTGTTGTGAATGTGTAGGAGAGGTGTGTGTTCAGTGATGAAAAAACACTGAAATGTTCCAAATCAAGTGTTTCACAAGAAATGCAAATGCCTGGGTTTGGGTGCTTGATAAAACTGAAGGATTGTAATCATTGTGTGTTTCTGAAATGTATCAATGCTCTGTAAAACAACATTTTGTCCCAATCTTTGCTAAAATCAGGGCAGGTGGCTCCTGTGCTGCCACCCTCCAGCAGGAACAGCTGGACTGTGGCAACAGCAGCAGCCAGGGCTTTCAAAAATACAAGGATTACTTAAAAAAAAAAGTGCTTTAATTTGAACAGGCCTTTTGCAGATTGTGAAATGTTCAGAGGTGTCTTTCTGTACATTCCAAATGCAGTGGCAGCTGAGCTGAATGTTTACAAAAATTATTGCTCCTAATCACATGGAATTGGCAGTCTCTAAACTTGTGTTGTGACCTGGACCTTCACCAGAGTCTGAGCTGTATCCCAGTTAATTATCAATTCTCAACTTCAGATTGTCAATTACTGATGATATTTGTACAAATTGGAAACAAAACATTTTAAATAAACTTTTTTTTTTTTTACCCCCTAAAAGGATCTCTTTGTTTTCAGATGGAAATGGAAAAGTGGGGATGACCTCATTTTGGCAGTTTCTTTCCCAAGGGAGGTTTCTTTAACTGCAGCCTTCTCCTTCATGCCTTTCCAGTGGTTTGGGAACACAGGGCTTGAGAATTAACACTAATTAATGTTCCTGACAAAACCAAAAGCTGGCGAGGCTGGGAAGCAGCGCTTGGGGCTCCGTCTCCCACAGACTATGGCTGGATTAATTAAGTCAGAAGGTGCTCTCAAGTTATAGTCAAAACTTGTACATTTTATTCCCAATTCACAGGGTTATTTGCACAGATGGAACACAAAACTCAAGAAGAAAGGATGTGGATGAATAAAACATCAGCATCTCCGATCAAACACACTACAGGGTACAGAGTCTTCCCTTCCTACAATAGTCTCAGCAGCAAGAGCATCTTTAGACATATATTATAGCAATGGACTACAGACTTTTTTTAAGCAAGTTACAAGATAAATGGAGAAAACCAGCAATTCTTAATGGGTGATTATGTCCTAAAAATGTGTCAATTTTATCCCTTTGTACTTCAAAATGTTCATCTGCACCATCCCTGCCAAGGCCCGAGCAGCAGTGCTGTGCGTGGCTGCACTGCCCCTCTCTGAGCACACCCCCAGCTGTCACCCCAAAGTCAGCAGGCAGGAAAAAAAAGCTCTGTCCAAGCAGAGAGCTCAAAACAACATTAAAACCAAAAGATTCCACTTTGAGTAAAACCATGATAACTGTACATTAAACATCTTGATAAGACATAGAAAGGATAACATTGAGCTTTCAGAGACCAGTCTATCAGAGTCCCTAATTAAACACCCAGCTACTTAACCACTAAATTGAAGATTTTTAATTACCAGTTGGGTGCATGGACTTTAGGTGAAAAAGAAGTTCCAATAGAGCCTTCTATGACTGCTGACACCAATCGATTCGCTGCAGATATTTTGGAGCACAGCCATTACTTTCAGCAGAGTTATTTTTTTTTTTTACACACTACTTCAATTCTACAAATTTCGCAGGAATGACAAAATCTAGTTTTACCACAGAAAAACGTTAATTCCCACCATTCTTGAGACTCCAAAAGAAAGATGCCTAGACATGATCTTTTGTAGCCTGCAAAGTTCTTGCATTCCAGCTGTGCATAACCTGCAGGAAGCTTGCACAAAACAGGCTCCTGCTTTTTTATTTTTTTTAGGGCAGGACTGGGATACCTGCATCAAGGAAGGGAGATGTTATCTAGATGGGCTGTGGCTTGACTTGCATGAATGCATAAACATTCCCTGCCCTTTTGGCCACATCCTGCTAACTCGTCCCCAACTGAAAGGCCCACAGAACAGCTTCTTCACAATTTTTCCATGGGAGCAAGAACTAGGACAACATCTTTATTCATGCACTCTTGAAACATCGTGGGTTTGTGTTCGGCTTTTCTGGCTTGTTCATATACACAAGTCAAGTCAAAGTTTAGTCCTACCTCTGGGAGAGAAAGAAAGAACCATCAGAACTGGCAGACACTACATTATACTTGCAATGATCTGGCTTTTCAAAACAAAAATTAAACTGTGCTATACATAAATGCTGAGGCACACAATATAAGGACATGCTGACACAACAGTTAAGGAACAGTTACTGTTACTCTGCCTGGACATGGAGATTTCTCCTCCCTCCTCCCACCCTTCCAGCTCCAATTCCAGCTGGAGCAGCATCACCATCAACCACAGCAATCCCTGCAGGTCCCTGACAGACACGGCCACGCTCTCCCCACCACTCAGTCACCAGGACCCCTTCCAAGCAGGAGTTTAGTCATGAAGACTATATTTATATTTATAAATTATAAAGCTGAAAAGAGTGGGGGTTTCTGCTGTTAGAAGCAGAAATAATCACAGCTCAACTTATAAAGGGTGACAGTAGATTTATCAAAGCAAATCAGCGCTTTACAGAGGATTTTTGTCTTTCAGGGCAGAACCTTCAGCTGGGCACACAGCAGTGCCAGCAGGCAGCTCCATCCCTGTTTGCCACCTCCCACAGAACCACTGCTGGCACCAGTTTTCACATGGCAATCATAAATTGATATGGTGATACTATAAATTTAATTCTGTATGAACCTTCAGTCATTGCTTTTACGTAGTTTCATAACCTGGCTGATAATATCTGAATTATAACCTATGGGGCAAGTCCATCCAGCAATAATGAAAGATAATGGCAAAGAAAATTCAATATATTAGAGTACAACTTATGCTTAAGAGTTCTCAGTTTGTCTTGTACCCCTTCAAAAAATGTTAAGTGACATTTATTCAGACACTAAATGAAAAATTCCTGCCTTTACTGAAATACCATAGTAAGGATTTTACTCCATAAGGGATGCATAGCTCTACTCCTAACCATGCTCTGGAGTCAAATTCTAAAGCTACAATAATTCCAGTGGATCAGTATTTCCTTCATTTTTTTATTACAGCATGTTTGCTAAATTTACAGCAAGCAGAAAATAAGCTGGGTCTTTAGTTATTTTGATCAAAACATCGATGTTTTAAAGGTAGTACACAATATTTGTTAAAAAGAACATATAAAAATACCTTTTTAGAAGCCTCTATAAGAAAGGAAATACAAAGTTTAATCCCACAACTTTCCTCTGCTAGAGCTGCACGCTACTGCTACAGTTTTAAATAGACTTTTTGCTGTTTTTTAAACTATACATCCAGGAAAAGTCTACAAAATTAAAGGAACGTGCATATAAATGATTGCATAGCAGAACATGAACATTAACTGCAAACAGTAAAAGAAAAAGTTAGAAATACTATCAAATGTACAAAGGTTCTAGGATCAACCCCTAAGCACGTTCCACTGACAGGATCCCAAAGCCATCTGTGCTTCTTTAAAGACCCTGCTGAAACACTAAACCCAAACCCTAAAACATTTCTCTAAAAAGGAACTTTTGAAAATCAATGTCTTTCTATGCTACAGATATCAGACAGTGAGGAACACTTAAGTGTTTGATGGTGGCTTTTGAAGGTAAAGATTAAAAAAAAAAAACCAATGCCAAAAGCCATTTCCATAACAAAGGATCTTGCCTTCTAGAGAAATACTGGGAAGATTACACACTGGGTTTGTTATTTTTCACGTCCAATTTTCTAAATATACTGTATTCGTGATAAACTACATAACTAGAGATGCAGCTCTTGTTCATATCCAACTTCAAACTTTTGTTCTGAAGGAAAATGAAATCTTGTAACCAAACCACTATCCATTCTGAGGAAGGAGTGATTCAGACTTGCTTGAGCAACTGCTTTTTTGCTGTGTAAAAAAGCAAGCCTGGTAACCCAGGGAGATGGCTACAGTTTGATACCTATGAATACACCAACTAACCACAGGAGTCATTGGCATAAAAGTTTAGTTCTTATATACTGTACACACACAACTCCAAACAATCTACTTGTATCTAACAGCAGGAAAACTAAGCAACTTTATGGTTAACTGCTCACTAAAATTGAGAATAGATACAAAAAACTGCATAAAATGTACACACAACCTAATATTTAGTTGCTCTGCCGTTTGCTGAAATCTGAATCGAGATTTTCCATTTCAAGGTGGGTTTTTCCCTCACATTCAGCACCAGCAGCCAGGGCAGAGGCAGTGAAGCCTCTATCCTGACAGGTCACGACACTGCACAGGCTCTGAGTGAGCTCCAAGGCCAACTCTCTGCCCATGTTGTACATGCAAGGTTAGTACCATCTCTCCAGACAGCAGGGTAAAGAGAAACCTCCCAAATCTCCCTCCACAGAGCTCCATCTGCCAACCTGCTGGTGCTGGTGGGCACAGAGAACACTGAAACCTGCCCTGGAGCCACGGAAACAAACTGCCAGTCTGATTTCCTAGCAGCCAGTGTTGCACTACAGCTGTCCAGTTTTCCTTTTTCTCACAAAGTTTAGAGTTGAAGAACCAGTTAAACAGCTGGTTTAACTGCCCAGCACAAACTGGTACCAATTTTTCTACGGGTGTGACATTTGTAAAAGGACAATGTTGCAAGTTACGATCAACCAAGTCATCACCAAATATCTAAGCATTAAAAATGCAAATCTTTACAAAAATATACATAGAGACACCACAACCAAATCATTAGCTGCCCATGACATTTAACCAAGTGGACAATCTCTCTCTCTCTCTCTCTCTCTCTCTGTGGCTTCTCAACACTGTTCTAATTTCAACCATTGTCGGCTACAGGGAAAACTGACAAAGAAAATAGTTTTAGCACTGTTGCAACATCATATTCCTGATAATTTAAGTAAACTGAACTGTGTGTAAATGAATCTTACATGCCTAAACCAACATGGATACACTGTTAGTGGCCACTGGACTTGGGACTAGTCCAAGACCTCGATCTGGATTTTGACCTAGACCTAGAATGTGATCTTGACTGTGATTTGGATCTAGCTGGTTCTTTTTTTCTCGACTCCTTCTCATATCTTGAGCTGGACTTATAGTGTGTTTTAGTATCTGTTTTAGAGGTGCCTCTAGATTTGGTGTGAGATGCAGACCTAGACCGTGATTTAGCCTTCATTTCTTTCTTGGGCTGTGACTTGGATCGTGATCTTGAATTGGACTTAGATCTTGAAAAAGATCGATTGCGGTGTTTGAACCTATCAGAATAAAGGGGAGAGAGGAGATTTGAATGTAAAAACACTATTCTTAGACATCTAGTACATTAAAAATTGTTTACCGTTTTTGCAGGAGAAACTTTTTTTTTTTTTAAACCTATAGTTAAAGGAATACAGTGATCTAGTTTGCAATTTAAAGGGTGTAAAAAGTTTTTACCTATCATTGTCCGAATGGCTTCTGCTACGACGAGGTCTTCCAGTAGGTCTACTGCTAAAAAGGTACATCAGAAAAAGTAAACGGTGACAAATACCTATGTAAACATACAAATACTTAATACATTATATTTTCAAGCTGTTCATTTGCTTTTAGTTATTCTCCTATGCAGCACAGAATCGGTTCATTCATTATTCCTGAGCAGATGCAGCATGCAAGGTATGCAACTCCCAGTGGTTACTCCCACGATAAGAATTACTCAAAACTGTAACAAACAGTCAGCGTGGTGTGTGTGTCTGTGCTGTGCAGCTGAGGCCAGCCCCACACACTACACTTACTTTCTGGGACTATAGGATCTTCTATAGCTGTAATCAAAGGAGCGACTCCTCGACCGTCTGCGCTCGTAACTGCGACTCCGAGACCGCCTGTATCTGTCATAGTCATCGTAACGAGAAGAACTGTACAGGTTTCTCCCTTCCTTGGCTTTCATTTGGTTTGGTGCTGTAAAAATAGCAGTATTTGCAGGTGAAGAAGATGCCCTACTTTTTTCCCCTCAAGGTCTAAGCCATGTATTTGGTGCTGAGCAGAAAGGCTCATTTGTGATTTGATGTTTATGAAGGAACAGGTGAGAGGCTGCTCTGTGCCACTTGTTTTGTGCTGCTTTAGCCACTGGACACAAATTAATGGAGCCTTGGGGGCACTGTAAATCTAGAAAGCAAAACAAACAAAAAACCCCTCAAAACCAGTCAGAAAGGACTAATGCTCCATATAACCAGAACACAGAGCTGGCCAAGGTGATTTCAGGCCAGCTGGAAACTGGTAGGGCAGGTCAGACCCATGACTGACACATTCTGACACTGCTGAATTTACCCAATGAGTGAAAGCTAATGAAACACTTTTTCCTGACTGCACAGCACCATCATCACACCTGATCCACAGCTGGCTTTAATGATTAAAGGCCCAGCTTATAAAGAGGCTTTGATGGATGCCACACAAAGAGAAGTCTGATTCCAGAGGGAACCCCCCAGTAAAACACTTCACTTTCACTCTGCAGCTTAGTTATTAAAGAAATTAAGAATGAATGAACCTATTAGTCTTCCACTGTATTTCCTCTAAGCAGCACAGCTATCCTTCCTTTGTAGCAAACTCAAACCCAAAGACCATGCTCTAAGTATTTTAAACTCGCTCTAACAAACACCCTGTGCAGTAAATGGCTTCAAATTTTATGTTTTTAGTGCTGCTTGCACCACACTAAGGTGGATTTAGTTAATTTTGTTCAGAAACTAGCTAGAAACCCCAGTGTTTATACACAGGGCAGAAACTTGTCCTTTGGAGTGTAGAATTTCCATTAACTCCATTAAATTTAATTGTGAGGACTTGAGGGAGAACTGGACAGTCAGGTTGTTTTTCTGAGAGGTGTAACTAAAGACCTTTAAGGCCCTTTTATTCCCAGGCATCACATGAGTATTACAGTCCTGGTTTGTGCCAGGTTTTACAAATCTGTATCTCTCTGCAAATTAAGACCACACACACAAACAACAGATTTAAAAGACCTAAATTCTTTTTACATTTATCTGCTCAGAAAATATTGAATTCTCCTTCACCTTGAACTCAGGTAACTTGAAACTGACTTTTATCCTGAAGCCAAATGAAAATGAAGACATTACCTCAATCCTGAAAAATCACACAGAGCTTCACAGAAAGCTCCAAAGAATGATTGTGGTGACTGCTGTACTTAGTTATCCATTTATAATTAAAACAAGTCATTAACAGTTACTGGATAAAAGGCAGAACATCCACAGGCTATTTATATAAAATAAGAACACATCACAACAATTAGCACCACGTGCAGTGTTTGGTGCTGAAATTCAGGCTAAATTCAGACTGTGATAAAATCAAGGCACTTACTCTTGCGGTCCCCCTGTGCAAACTGGATTTCTATTTGCCGACCACAAATCCACTTTCGATCCAAATTATGGAGAGCATCTTCTGCATCACGGACATCTTCAAATGTGGGCAGTGTTAAGGTACTTGGGAATTTGAGCAGTTTAACAGATTTGGTATTTAAAATAAAAAAAATTAAATTTTCAAGTTATTTTCTCATTTTACAGCTGTTAAGTTTTTGTGTTATGCTACTCTACGTATTAGTGAATTTTTTAAAATTAACCACCAGCTATCTGAAAACTCCTGTAATAAAATTAAAATGTTGCAGTATGACCATGAATTTATCTATCAACAAGCACTTGCTATGTGATAATCTTAATTTTTTTCTTCTCCCACTTGTACTTATGCAAAGAAAACAAAGGTATCCTTTCAAAACACACTTGTTAATGGTCATTTAGTTCTTTCTACTTGAGTTTATTAAAATTAAGCCCTAGTTCTTCACTTATGTTGGACATACCAACAGTAAATATTAACTCTGGAATTGGAAAAAAGCTTTCCTTTCTTTTTTTAACAACTGATTTTAGGTTTAACTGATGTCATGTCACAGCCCTGTGTGCAGAGCCTCTGCAGTGTGAGAGAAGAGCAGACACTGCGAGCCCTGCACTGGCACTTGGGGCCAAGGCACAGTGACAGACATTGATTTTAATGCTGGAATTTACACCCCTAATTCCAGCTTGTGGGACCCCAAACAATGAGCTGCCTTTCCCCTCCAGGCCACTCATTTCTCAGCAGCATCATCTCTGCAGGAGAGAAACTTCCATTTCATTCAGACCACAGTTACAGCAGCACTCACAAGAGAAATATTACAGGTTTTGTCAATGGACTAAACCAGAATAATTCATCAAATTACTGCTTACATGACAGACAGAAGAAAAACTGTAATTCTGTAGGATACATCAGGTATGACTCCTTTAATCTTGGCCACCATTCAACTTCATCTTGACCTTTAACTCTTTAAGTGCTTGTCAGAAGGACTTGTCATGAGATGCTTGGCCAAAAATGACAGATGGCTTTATCTTTAACTTTGAAAAACAACCTTTTCCCCCTTTTGTAGATAAAGCGAAGCTTTGTCTCCCATTATGGCTTGTCCTTCTTCCAGCTTTTCTTTACTTTTTCTTTTCCCAAACTCTCCCTTCTCTTCAAGCCTGATCCTTAAGAGGTCTTTGGCTTGTCTACTTGCCTTAATTGTTGAACTCTACTCTAAAGGTTCTTTCATGCTTTCTCTTTGGGGTCGCCATTACTGTACAGCTTTACATTCTGAGGCAACAACAGAGGACAGCAAATTAGGGGACAATATTAAAGAAAGAAGTTCACCTCATTTTTTACACAATCTGATTTTGATCAAGTGATTCCAGTTTCAATTTGTTAAATTAACAATGAATAGCAGCCACATTTTGCTAAGCACAATTTTACTTACACACCAGTGATAATAAAAACGTGCTAGACAATTTTGAGTCAGTGATAAATTTTCATTTAAATCAAATAGTATTAATTTCAGTGACATAAGCAAGCTTTTATATTACTGGACTTAAGTTTTGCAAAAAAGGCAAAGAACAATTGAGAGAAGTTAATCTTCAAAAATAACGAAACACCACGACATAAGTAAGACACTTATTAGATACAACACAAAAGTAAACTGCTTTTTCATTTAGATTGGTTACCTCTTACACAAACTTGAATTTCAAACTTCAACACCCCTCACTAATGAGCCATCTGAAGAAAGGATATTGAACATAGGCAAATCCTCTGGGACGACGAGTGTAGAAGTCAAGTGGAACGTAAACATCAACTATAGGCCCATAACGACCAAACTCCCGGCGCAAATCTTCGGACCTGGAACACCACAAACACCTGATATGGCTTTGTCACTGGTTAAGGAGCTACAGAACACCCACCAAAATAAAATAATATAAAGCAAAAAATCAGATCTGCAATTAATATGACCACCCCTGGTTTTTGGAAGCGTTTGGTGGAGGATGAAAGTAGTTGAACATTTTTTGGGGAAAAAAAGTGTTTGGGCAGTTCCCTGCTGGCAGCAAATGGAGCTTTTCTGAAACACTCAAGATACACCCTGGCAGTTTGAAACCATAGCATAACCCTAAAATAAAAATGTAAACTGAGAAGTGATGCACATCAGCTCATTCAATGCAGCCAAGGTTGGCAGAAAGTGAAAGAAAGGACTGTTAAATTATTGTTATTATCATTCAAGTACCTCATGTAACTCGACAGTGATTTTGCAACACACAAACATCAATTATGAGATCCAAATAAACATTATGAGAAACAAACCAGTCACCCAAACTCATTTCCATAGAATAATCAATACTTAAAACCACATCAAATAGAACAGATCTCAGTGAGCAGCCACTCATGCCCTCAGGATAGTTTTTCCAAAAGACTTGGCTTTAGAGAGCTGAGACAAAACTGTTCAGCTTCAACTAGCCCTGGAACAACAGCCTCTCCTCAATAGAGGTTTCTTATTCATACTGGCTCCTCACATTTAATTTGTAACGTTTGAGAACAAAAACCTGCATGAGAAGATTGATGTAATACCATATTTAGGTGGTATGTGAGAGTTACTACTGCTTTTCAGTATTTTCATATTTCTCTTGCATCAGCTTGGAAACAAAATCTCCACACAGTCAGTGCTGGTAGAAGGGAACTACCACCAGCATGGGGATCTCACAATGAAACCACCTCCAAGAGCTCCGTGCTTAAGGTGAATCCAACAGGATCCACATTACTATAAAAAATTTTAAAGTAATCATCCTCAGCTGTTCTTAAAGCAAAATAAACTATTGGAAAAATGAATTAATTAATGAAAAAAAGTGAAAGTTTAATTTGAAGTTATTTATCACAACGTTCTCAATTCATTCCATTCCACTGTGCCAACAGTACTGCTGTCTGCTGAACAACTTTGGTCCAAGTCGCCCAGGCAGAGGTGGAAAACTCATATTTTATCGGACCAGACCTTATAGGACCTCCGTACAAATTCTACACGAAAAAAAACTAACACAGGAGTGCTCTGACAAACGCAGACTGTGGCAACAATGATCTGTAAATGTTCCACATCTGATAACAAACACCAAAAGTGTTTTTTGTCACTAAACTGCCAAAGTTAAATGAGGAAAGCCAGCAGTTCACTAACTGGAAAAAATAGGCAATAAATCAGAATCTGTGCAATGCTCTGGTTTTGTTGTTTCAATTCCCTATGAGAAGTTCGGTGACCGCACACGTTTAGTCCTTACAGGCTCTCGGTACAACACGATTATAACGGAGATCAAGCATTGCTTCCCTCGACTTTAAGCCGTCCTGAGAGGCCCCTGCACACAACTATTACCGCAGGAACATTGCACCTGAACCGGCAGCAGCTCCCACACTAACGGGACCGGCTACGCCAGGAATTTTAGGCACAAATGCTCTATTTTCTCCCATCTAGCAGCAATACTGCATTTGCAGAGGAGCATCCCAAACACCAGCGGCTGTCCAGCATCGCCCCGGTAGCACATCCCACCTGGATCTCCCGCTGGCCACACTCAAAGGCGGCTGCGGGGAGCTCCACTTTGTTGCGGCCCAGCTTTGTTCTTTCTGGACGCTGTTTGGAAACGGATCCGCGTGGAGAGGCGGGGAACGGGGAGCATCGCGAGGAAAATGGAAGGCAGGGCACGGAGAAGGGAGAAGAGAGGGAGGGAGAAGGCAAAGCGGAGGAAAGGAGCAGGCAGGATTCGCCCCCTTCCCTTCCCCGGCTGCGGAGGGACCCCCGCGCCCGCGGCCTAGCGAGCCCGCCAAAGCCTGCGCGAGTCCCCGCTCCGCCCCCACTCACCGGGTGTCGTCGGCCACGTTCCGCACGAAGAGGGAGGTGTTGGGCGGCCGCAGGTAGCGGGACATGTCGGCGGCGCTGGGAAAGACGGAAGGAAGGAAAGGAGGGAAGGAAGGAGGGAGGGAAGGAGCGAGCGCNCCCTGGGGGAGCTGCACCTCCCGCCCGCGCGCCGCCTCTCGCGAGACTTCCCGGGGGGCTTCCGGCGAGAGCCAAACGCGGCGCCAAAATCCTGCCCCGTTCTGGGAGCGCGCATGCGTGCCCGCCCCGCGCGGGAGCTCGCGGGCCCTCCGGCGCGCGCCGCGCATGCGCGCTTCTCTCCCCCCCTTCGCTTTTCCCGCCGAAAGAGAGGGAAGGGGGAGCGCGCGCGGGGCAAAATGGCGGCTGCCCGCCCGCCGTGAGGGGACGGCGCGCCCCGGCCTTGTGCACCCGCCTTAGAGCGCCATGGCTCCCAACTGCACAGCCAACTGACGCGACCTCGGGCTATATTGCCCTTCCTGAAGCTCAAGTCATCGATGTCCTGTGGTCTTGCTCTTGAAAAACGTGGAGTGTGTAAAAGTTCCGTTAAGAAAAGATGTTCGCTGATATTTGACGTTTTTCTGCTTTCAAGCTTAATCAATGTAACCCATAAAACAGCAGCCAACAAGCCCTAAGTGATGTCCCTGTGTTAGAATAATAAATTGGTAGAACTGCGTTGTTAAGGTTCAGGGCTGGACATGGTTCAATGATCTCAGACCTATGGGGTGGTTAACAAAGCTTGAGAAAAAAGGATACCCGCTGATAGAGGACACAAAAGAATGCAGAATTTATGGGCCATCTGGCAAGAACTCCCAAGATAAGGAAGAAACTAATAAACCCAACTCAGCAACTGTGCTGAAATGATCTCCGGCTGGGTAAAATGTAATTTTACATCTGCAGGGGCAGGCGGTGACCACCAACCCACACACCACTGACCCAAAAGGAGAGAAAGACTGAAAAAGGGACTAATTAGCATGAGAAACAACAGAATAATTTACCAACAGAAGATAGAATGGAATACTAATTCAGAACTACGTAACTTGTAGCCAAGGAACACTAATTCCTTTTGTTTGCTAAAATGTGTAAATAGTAATAAATTTTGATCGTTGATGTGCTCGATTTGTTGAATCCCACAAGGCCCCCAACTGCGCAACTCTGAAATAGATGACCAAAGTCTCTCTGGAGTGTGAAAGTATTGTTGCACATGGAGCAATTAATCCAATTTTTGTGGAGAACACCGTTACCCACAGCCCTGTTGGGCCCCAGGAGTTTTCATCACACTGTTTGCACAGGACCAGCCCTTTCCATTGAAGCTGTTTGTGTGATGAAAACAATACAGTTGGTGGGTGGAGAGATTATTTCTTACATTACCAGCTCATGTGTGACTCACATAAAGGTGGATAAAACGCACATCTGTGACCCAACAGTCACAGAGTTTGGTGAAGGGTTTGATGAAAAGTGTCTGCATTTTCATGCGAGGGATTTTCAGCAAACTCCTGCAGGGATAGCAAGACTTCGAGCTGCTGCAGCCCTGATGTCTGCCACCAGTGTATTTTCATCTTTATTTTTAATATTCATGAATGAAAACTGGTGGGAGGATATTGCTGTTTGTATCTTGGCAATCTCATACTAAGAAGCGCCTCATTTTTACAGGTTTCGAATGACAGATGATTCAAGTTTGAATGGCAGATGAAGTTCAGTCACTAACACAGGAGATGTGCAGCCATATACACTTCCAAAAAAAAGGAATTTATGTGGTTGTGTGTCCAAGGTCTGTGTGCAGGACTTAAGAGAGGAGGGATGGGAATCTCTGACCATGCTTTTTGCATTTAATATATTCATAGAATAGCTTAGCATGAGTTTAAGTTCTAAATAAGGTTAGCATGCTTTTAGTGTGTAGTATCCACAACAATAATTTTGTAACAGGTTTTAAATGAGTAATGATTTCTGCCTTGGTTTAGAAATGCACCTGAAATGTCTTGCATGTTCCATCCTCCAGTTTGCAGGTACAGCCTCTGATCATTGCAGACCTGAGGTGCTGAGTTCTTGGGTGGCTTTTTGCAGCACCAGTGCTTTAAAGCAGCCTCCTCCTTCCTCCCTGAGTTTTACCAACCCCAGTTTCTGTGCTGTTGATCTTATTTCTGTGTAACTCACATGGAATTTAATTCTGGCTGCAGGAGTGTGCTTGGCATTAGAGCTGCCTGGGAAGCAAAATGAACACAATGATCTTTTATGCCAGTGAAACTCCCCCTGAGAACAGCCTTATCCCAGAATAAGAATACACTTCCCAAATTGCTTGTATCACATTGTGTTATTAAGTAAAACACAACCTCCCCCCTCACAAACTGCTCTTCTAGCATGGAGAGATGTTAGCTCAGCATTCTTCACTGGGATAAAACCTCCCCATGAGGATTTTAAATGGCATTATCAGTCCAGCAACTTTGTTCATGGAGGTCTTGCACCCAAAACCAATTCTAACAAATCTGCAGTGATTTAGATTATGAAATGGAGCTGGTGATATAATAATGGGATCTAATCAGCAGAGGAATTATTCAAGGCACAGCTCCTGTGTGTTTTATACTTAATAAAGAAACAGGG